AGATAACAGCTTCGCCCTCGGCTATTTGGACATGTCTTTCTTTGTGTACCCCGAAGATCAGACGATATTCGCAAACTGCCTTCACCCACAGAGTTTGTAAATGATATACATGTCAAATAGCGCATTTTCGTGAAGACAATAAATGAAGAATACCTTCATCTCTCAGCTGTGTAAAGGGCTGCCAGCGCCAAAGGCCTGGCGAGCGGCACCCCCCCGACGACGTTTCTGCGGTCAGCGATACGCGCTGCAATATTAGGATAGTTAGGGCTTCAGGATAGATGGTTTCTATAAGTCCGAATGGGTGAGTAGTATTGGTACAACTCATTCAAAAGTAAATGCGGCTGCCCTCAAGGGACAACCGGCTCTCTAGCATATTTCAGCAGTTGTCGTGTCGTCACCCTCTGATATTACCAAAAAATGGATGGCAGGACAAAAATTTGAGGTCTACAACACCAGAGACGAAGAACAATCTAGATTGAAATAGAAAATACCCATATCACACATAAAAAACGTGTCAAATATCAATTCGAAGATAGGCGATTATTCCTCAAAGAGCACATCTTCCCTTGATCCCTAAGAACTTAGTAATTACACATTGTCTCGCCCCAGAGATCACGATGACCAATCAGGCAGGCGTGATTCATTTGTTAGACTCAGATCTAAGGATTATTTCAAGCAACGTGCTCGACCTCGGGGTCAATCGTTTTCTCTGCACTCTCTCTGATAAAGTTTTCAGTAGAGCGCACTTGTCAGAAAAAAAAATTTTTTTCGGTTTTTTTCCAGAAAATTCAAAATGTCAAAAATTGAATTTTCATGGCGAAACTTCAGTTTTTTCCCGTTTTTGATCTACTTCCTCTGGACTACCCCTATATGAAATTTGTATCAATCAAAAGGAAATTTTTTGATCTACCGATCAACACTTACATGTCGATAAAGTGGCTGTGACCAGAAGATCTCTCTTGCGCGAAGGCACAGCTCATAGATCTCGTATTTCTTGACCGTATTCTGACAACTGACCGGTGTCCAGATGTGGAAGAAGCGGAAAATTATCGATTCGAGCCATAGGTGTAACTGCAAAGAATTAGCTGTTTGTGGAGGTCTCGCCACGGGTACTGTAAGACTTTGGAATACATTCGTGGTGAGACCTTCCAAAAAAATTGCGTGCGCCTTTGACGTAAACTAAAAAAAATCTTAAAATCCCAAAACGGCCCCTTTTTCTGCCTTCCCCCCCCCCCTCTCCCCTCCGCGCGCCAAAACCCCCGCCTCCTCATTCCCCTCCCACCCTTCCACATGTCGCAGCACCCGTGGCCTAGTGGCTAGCGCTCCTGTTTTTGAATCCCGAGGTCCCGGGTTCGACCCCCACCAGTGCCAAAACTTTTTTTCCTTTTTTTCACTTACTTTTTTCTGCTCATCGGCTGAGCCCTGCTTCATGTGAGCCTCGAAATCCCTCTCCTCGCCCATATTTTCCTGTTTCTCGTTTTATATATTTTGTGAAAAAGAAGGAATAGAAAATCCAAACAATAACTTCATTCACCACGGGAATACACACGTAAGGGGAATGTGGGGCAGGGCGGGACACTTGAAAATTTTGAAAAATTTACAAAAAATTGAAGAGATGGAGGTGGGACTTTGATTTATAAAGGGGATACCGGAAAATTCAAAAAAGGAAAAATCAAAGAAAAAAATTTTAACGGGTCCATGGGATCGGCTCGTTGGGGTCCTTCATGGCACATCCCTCCTCACTGGTGTCCAGAAAACGATCCATAAGAGTGGCGGATTCATCGATATACTGTAAAGTCTGTCTGTGTGTCCGGATGTCCAGACATACTTACCGAAACATTTTTCACCATGAGCACGTAATTGGCAAAGTATGGGCGTGGGTCTTTTCTTTGTGGGAGGACCATTGGAGCCACTGAAAATAGAGTTATAGGGCGTGGCTTAAAAGGGGCGGAGCCTGAGAGGGCGTGGCCTAAAATCCTAAAACTCACAATCCGAAACATTGATGAAAATCGGCACATCCTCACGAAGACACATTCTGAAGCGAGACGTCTCTTTGATGGCCCACGCTTTGTCGGCTTCTGGAAATTTCGTGAGTGTGCGTCCGGATGTCCGGATGTCCATTTAGACTTACTGTTAGAGTTGATTTTTGTAGAGACTCCGTGAATCGAGAAACGCAGACACATTGGCGGGAAGCGACAGTGTCTGGAAACATTGAGGTGTTTTGGGGAAACTTAGGGCTGAATTAGGAGGTTTTCAGCCTAAATTTGGCCTAATTTTAGCCAGGATGGACTATTTTTCAGGCTAAGTTAGGCCACATTTAGTAATTTTTTGCCGATTTTCAGCCAATTTTCCTCTCTTACTGCTTATGAATTCTGTAGAGCGAACTGGTGAGCACCATATCACGACCACCGGAATCCAGGAAGCGAACTTCGGCGAATTCGTCACAATTGACGATAAGGACACGTTGCCACTCGCCAGTGTAGTTGGCCTTCTCCTCGTTGACGGCGCACACAGCAAACACCTCCCGATTCTCTTTACGCATGTTTTGGCTGCAATTTTAGAGTATTTTGGAGACTTTTTGGGCTTTTTTGGGGAAAAATTGGTCAAAAACCTGGAAATTGAAAGCTAAACAGCTATTTAAGCTATTTTTGAGGTCTTTTCGGAGAAACTTTGACGAAAAAGCCAAAAATTTTTTTCAGAATTAAAAAATATTGAATTTGAGTCTAGTTATGCTAAATTTTGTGAAATTGCTCAGAATAAAAATTGCAGAATTTCGACTATAACTCGGCGCAAAATGAAGATTTCGGCCTGATTTTTGGACCAAACTGTAGGGAATTTGAAGACGAATTTAGCCATATAGAATTCAAAGTCTAATGTAGGAATGATTTTGTGGCCTAACTTTCTCAAAATATGTTTTTCTAGGCTATCCTTTCAAATTTAGGTGAATTTTGTTCCAATCACTTCCCGATCATTTTCCATTTTTCAGAACTCAAAAATATTGATTTTTAGTCGAGTTATGCAAGTTTTTTTTTTTTTGAAATTGCTCAGAATAAAATTTCTCAGTTTCTCCACTATAACTCGGCTCAAAATCAAAATTTTGACCCGGTTTTTGAACGAATTCGTAGGAAAATTGAACACTAACATTTCCTCCCTTCTCAACGGTTTTCGATTTTTGGCATTCGAATAATAGTTATCGAGTTGTTCAGCAAAACTCGTCAACTGATCATTTCCATAAAGAATCCAGTCAACCAAATCGACTTCCTTGAATTCTTCCGTATCTTTTTGCGAAGTCCACGGAAGGTTTTCCTCACGCTCGTTTTTGCCAGTTCTGGAAGAAATTGATTGATGCTGCACCTAGCTTGCCAATGCGCCGGAGGCGCGTGAGACCATAAGTCCTACAGTACCCATTTCTCCGCGGCGAGACCTACTTTGGGTAAAACTCACTTGACAATTGGCCTTGCGTACCACTCAAACGGATTTTTTGTGCATTTTCCTTCGACATGGAGCATGATACGTGGCTCGGAGCCAGGTGGATCCGGGAATCGGAAGCTGAAAAAATTATTTCGAAAAAAAATACAATAAGAATTTCAATCGTGGCGGGACCCTTTTAAAGAATTTCATGCGCCTTTAAGGTAACTGTAAGTCGACTACTTGAAGGCGCAGCATGTGGGTCACGACCAGCGCTGTGCGAAAAAAAAATTCCGAAAAAATTTAAATTTCGGGATTTTTCTATTTTTTTTTTCGAGAAAAATGGAAAATAAGGCGGTAAGACGTGAATATATACAACTAATTTTTCGGAAAATGACCGGAAAACCGAAAAAAAAAAATTATTTTTTCGAAAATTTTTTACACAGCCCTGGTCTCGACGCAGATTGTATGCGCCTTTACAGTTCCAATTACTAACTTCTCCGCCAACTCCTCAATAGTCGGCATCTCAATCTTATTCTGCCGTGGATCCCAATCCTCATGCTCCTTCTCTGGCGTCAATGAATCCTTATTGAACAACTCCTCCGTCTCCTCCTCCTTCTCAGCCATCTCCACCTCATCCTTATGCTTCCAATCCGCCGGAATACATTGATGAATATCCAAAGCGTCTTCTGGAATCTCCACAGTCTCTGCCACTTCGTAAATCTCATGGAATGCGGCGTCGTGGAGATCCATGGATACAATTTGCGTCGGCACCTTCTTCTCCAGAATTTGTTTCACCTCCACTGACCGGGATTTGTGCTCTTTTTCTTCCAGCTGGTCCCCTTCGATTCCGAATAATTTGACGGGTATCGGACGGGCGTAATCGTTGAAAACCACGGTAGAGAGAACGACTTCAACACGGAGAATCGAGAATCCGAGGAGGATTTCGGCGAGGTTGAAGCACGTGTCCACGGACCACATTGATTCGGTCTAAAAAGTGATTTTTATGGATCTTTAGTGGATTTTTTTTTCGAGAAAGGTGATTTCTATGAGTTATTGGGTGATTTTTATCGATTTTCTGTGAATTTTCTTGAGAAAGAAATGTGATTTTTGTTAGGAAAATCCAATGATTTTAACAATTCTGTTCGAAAATAGGTAGATACTCAACTACCTCTCTACTGTTATTTCTCAACTGCTACAAATATACTGCTATATGCATAGCAGTTGAGACATCAAAATTGGCAAAAATAGCAGTTGATCCATAGCAGAAGAGCCAAATATAGCACTTGATTACCCACATAGCAGTTGAATATCTACCTAGAAATCGAACCGTTTTTGGCCTAATTTGAGCCAGTTTTCCGATTTTCGAAGTCGATTTCCGGCAAACTTCGTACAAAAACATGTGATTTCTGTGTTAAAAAAAAGCAATAATTTCAGCCAAAACACCCAGTTTTCTACTCAATTTGAACGGTTCCAGTTGAAAAATACGAAACGATTTGATCGATTTCGAGGCACTCCGGCTCGAATTTAGACGATTTTCCGTGTAACTTCAGCCAATTTCGGTTCAAATTGGCCAAATTTTGAGCTACCCAGGGCGGTTTTAGGTCTAAATTTAGCAGTTTTTGATGCGAATAAACTCGGTTTTCTAGCACAAATCAGGCTGGTTTCAGCTTGAATTGAACCAATTTTCAGCTGGAAATAAGCGTTTTCGGATCCAAGTTGAGCCGTTTTTTGTTGGAAACAATTAATTTTAGGCCTGAATTGGGCGGATTTTTACTCGAAAGCAAGCGAATTTTCGACCTTAACGCAGGTCAAATCACGAGCGTTTCGAGGGAAAAAAATTGGAGATGTTAACGGCAAAAAATCACAAAAATCAATTAAATATTGGCAAGGTCAGGTCCCAAAACTACTAGAACTAGCTGCAAAAGCGCCGGGGCGCGCAGCTAGTCTCAAGATTTTCCATCGTTAATTATTCACCTCTCCATCTCCAATCGCCGGATAAACGCCAAAAAGCGATATCTGAATCGCCTGCCACGGATAAAACATGTAGTGCTCATCCATCTCCGCCAAACACTCTTTTTTAACGAACGCCGTTGTGGCGTCGTCGATAAAAAAGATCTTAATCAGCTCGTACTCGTTGGCGGTCTCCAGAATTCGACAACGCCGAAAAGTTCGCTCGGCGATCGGCGCCACCGCGTAGTCACCCTTGACGATTGCTGTCTTTGGTTTTAGCTCGAATCTGACGGGAAAATTATTGGAAAAATCGATATTTCGAGCGACTTACGGCTCCCGGAAAGTCAGTGTGGTGTCAGTGATGTGATTTGGGAGACGGACCCAAATACGGGATGGTGATTCGGCGCGGAGCAATTCCACGTTGGCAGTGCGAGAGAGCACGATCCGTTTGATCTGGAATTTAATTTCGGGTTTTTTAGGACCAAGAACGTGATTTTTTCTCGAGAAACCTTCTGAAAAATTGGATTTCAACCTATTTTCTGCAGTTTTTAGCCAAAATGAAAGTCTTACAACAGCTTTTCCGGTATTCTTATCGATTCCATCCAATATCATCTCTGGATTCTCATTTGCTGTCGGAAGCTTTGCAATCGGCTCCTCGGGACCCGGAAAGACCTGATCGGTCAGACGAAGTCCAACCGAAATCATTTTGGCTGAAAATTAAAGTTTTCTCCACGCTTTTGTACTCAATTTTTCTTGCTCATGTTAAAAAAACGGAAGGATTTCGCAATAATTTCATGTTAATGTGATTTTAGAGTTAGTTTTTGAGATTTTCACTTGAAAAATTGGGTTTTTAGCCGTGAAAACTTGAGTTGAAGCTTCAAATAAAAAAGAAAATCGTAAACCAAGAGTTACTGTAATTTTAAAGGAGCACGTTAAAAAATTTATCCGGGTTTCAACGCGACTTTTTCCTCATCATTCTTATTTTTAAGATTTTTCTCCCATTTTTTGA